AATGAACGTTTTTTCGGCAAAACGAACGTTTGTTTTGAATTTTCTGATCGTGTTACGTTACATCTGATTTTCGAAATCTGATTCGTAGTTAAGGAAACCTGCGCCACAAACCTGTCCCAGATTTTTTATTTGCCTGATTAATCTGCGATCTGCACAGCATTACAAAGAATTAAGGCATTTAAGGGTAGAAGGAACTATTAAGTTGTTTAAAATAATTACCCAGTTTTGGGTTATACCGATGCAATTCACAATATTGGTTATTACTCTTTACCTGATACTGGAGTTGAAAAGAATGAACATAAAAGTATTCAATTATTGTAAAAAGTGCTGATGTGCATGTGGGTTATGCGTTTGGAATCACTAAAAATTGTTAGCACAGTTAATCAGAATTAAAATGGTCAAGCGTATACTTTCAACTATTCTAAAAAGTTTTTTTGATATTGTCATGTTCGTGAAGTATATTAATGGTCAATGCTAGCCATTCATCAGAAACTAAATATTAGAAAAACTACAATTTCAAGTAACAGATAGATTTATAATGACTGAATAATTTTTATAATTCAGCAGGAATTAATATTTTTAACCAAGTATGTAATAAATTTGAAGAAAAAAAAGTACAGAATAATTTATTTATTATTTATGGCAACTAAATTTTACACAAATTTAATAATATAATTTAACATTAACTCTAAAAATGAATTTATAAATTATGATATTTTACTGATTATTATCCTTTCACAATAATCAGATTTACTAAGAATGAACAATTAGTTTGTGATTTTGAAAATTGACATTTATGACAATTGGCAAAAGCCGAACCAGTTCGACTTTATCAGTTATTAGACTTCTTGTTATCATCATGATGATAATTATCACAATGATAAGCAGTGCAAGGTGGATCTGAAGGTGGACTTGAGTCTAATTTTAAAAAAAAAGAAAAATAAGATCATCGTTCAAGGTCATTATGAATTATTATAAGAAACTTACGATCATGACGAGGTTTCTGAGAATTCTGACGCTTTTGGTGGGCCACAGGGACTGCAGAAGTCATAGAGACGATTATGATAATGATTAATAGGATAATGTATACACGCAGTTTCATAATGAAAATTTCTAGCAAAAAAATTTTTTTCAACAAGAATACAGTAAGTTCGACTTTTCTGCGAATAAGAATATATAAAGATGTTGACTTAGATTGCAGTCTATTTTAAAGAGAGTATGATTGCAGTAATTAAAGCTGCGTGGTAATTGAATTGAAAAATGTGCGATGTAATTTTTTGAAAAATTTTTTTAACGTTTAAATAGAAAATTGAACATCAGATACAGAAGATATTTTTGTTAATTGATTTACATATAACCTACGTTTCCTTGTTATGTAAAATTTTCAATAATCAAAATGTGTTAAAATTCAAAACTGTTTACCCGACGTTCTTAGCAGAAAAAAAAACAAAAATATAAAGAAATTGCATGCGTCCTTTGAGTAAGCGCACCATTTAAAAAGCGTGAATCTTAAAATATTTTTAGATTACAGTTTTTTTCAAAAAAAGAAAAAATAATAAAAGCTATTATCAATGCAATATAGCAATTATTCCTAAATTATTCCGAAACTAGAACAAAGAATACGATTTGTTTTCATTAAGTCCTTGAGTTTGACGCTCTACTTCTAATTTAACCAATGCTCTCTATAGACATTTCGAAAAAAACTATATTGTGTATCAACATTGCTTTGTACGTGTCTATTACATAAGTTACACAATTTGTAAGTGCATTTGCCGTTACTAGAACTGTTTATCGTTACACTGTTATATTATAACTCTAATGATCATGTACGCTTTCCGGGAAAAAGTCTCCGACTTGAAGATCTTTTCATTCTAATAGAACTTAGTAAATTGTATTAAGATTTCTTTAATTGATTATTACAAACTCATCAATTATAGTTTCAATAAAATGCTTGTTTAAATTTTTTACTTTTCTTATGTATTATGAAAGAGATTTCAAACTGGTGAACCTTTATCAGGTGAGTGTACTAATACCAAAATAAACAAACGTGTATTAAACTTTATTGGTGATCATAAAATAAAATACGTCACTCAATGGATGACCAGGATGACCAAATTGGCAGTGAATTCAATTAAAGGATTCATTTTAAGTGAGGTACATATGAGCCCCTAAATTAATGCGACTGAAATTAATTGAATAGAACCTGGTATTGGCAATGATCACACACTATTATCTAATGATTTAAATTTTAAATAAACGATTTTAATAAAGATACGTACGTACGTACGTACGTACAGTACGTGAATGAAATTTTTTTTACATAATATAGTGATTTAATTTTACACCATGCATAATATAAATTTTAAATAAAGATTTTAATTATACAATCAAATAAAATCTTAGTTTAATGATCAATAAGAATTAAATCATTATGCATTAGTTTAATTATAACAAAAATTAAATCATTCACGTTACTTGAGTAAAGATATGTGAATGAAAATTTTTTTACATAATAATTAGTAGATTAATTAATAGTTTTCATTCGAAGGAACGCATAAATAATACATTTGTTAAAATCAGATTTGCGTCTTAAAATTTTTATTTAGTCAAGTTGATCAACAACTTTTGAACATTGTTATTTATGTAAACACCAAAATACTACTTTATAAATTCCAGAAAGTATGTTATATGCAATTATAAGTGCATTCGTGATTAATGTTAATTGTGGAATAATATTGAAAGTTATTGTTCTTTCTCTAAATAATATCTTGATTTTTTTTTGAATAACAAAACCAATATTAGTAATTAATGACAATTCTGTTTTACCTTTTTATTCAATTTATTCAATTAAATACCAACCTGAATAATGAATTGCGGAATACCAACTATCAAACTTAATATTCCAATCCAAAATATGATATTCTCTGCGGTTTTTGAGAAACGTGTACTGAATATTTTCAACATTAAAAATTTCGAAGATAAAACATATAGTGTTTCAATATGTCCCGCTGATATGATTGTGAACAATGGAAGAAGAAAGCCATATTCTGAAAACCATTTACTGAATTTTATATTTTTACTAATTTCATGAACGATAATTAAAATTGATGATATTATGTTTAGAGATGTTGACATTATGAGGACTATTAAACTGCAAAAGAACAGAAAAAAAAAAAAACATTAAATTAGTACAAAATGTAAAAAAAAATATATTAACAATTAAATAAAAATATTAAAAAGGATGAACCTTGGCAACCATAACTCTGGAACTTTTCGAGCATCATTGACAACAAATGAAATTCGTAATCCCAAGTCAGCGAGAATGATAATTAATTTAAACATTGTAAAATTGTCAGCCTAAGTAAATAATAAAATTAAATCAACAAACTTGAAGATTTTTTCATATTTAAATTTTGAAAATATAATATAAATACCTCTTTAAATTTCCACGAAGCCAAAAAATATAATATGGTTAAGACCACCAATGCAATAATAATAATTATAATCAACACCAAATAATCTCTTAAAAATAATGCTTTATTAAATAAAAAAAAAAAAAAACTCTTTAAAACCAGGAAATAGGAATTGTAATTAATCCAAAAATACTTGTAGACTTACGTGCAATAGTCATGGGATAATTCTCATCAATTAATGATGTTGTATTATAATCCATTAAAGCACTGTATTTCTTGTATTTCAACAAAGTATTAAAGTCTTGTGATATATTGGCTGCACTTTTCTTTGACAAATCTGAGGTATCCTTAATATTAAAAGAAAGTAAAATTTGCAATGTTCCTGTAGAAGTATCTTTTTCGAATCCGTTTATGGGTGTTAATCTATTATCTTTAACGGGAATAACATAAGAAAGGTCGATAGTCATTTGTTTGTTGAATTTTTGTTGATCAACTGGGCTAAGGGAAAGATAATAACTAGAACCATCTGGTGTTAGACGGATGATGCCCGTTATCTGGCCTAAATTATAGTCAACAGTTAAATTTTGTAAAATTAACACAAATACATAATAAAGAGAATATTACTTGAATAAATATACTGTTTATTTTCTAAAAATAAAGAATAAAACGTTACGTAAATATAAAATTTATAAATAAATAATTTTTTAACATAGTTTAAATTTATACAAACCATTGACCAGAATCCATAAATTTTTGTCAATTCCCAAAAGTGCTTCATTTGAATCACTACGCTTTACAAAATTATTCTCCACGACCACGTAATAAAGACCATTAGGTTCATTAAAAGTACTAGGAAATACTTGTATTATAACACTTTTATTATCGTTTGAATCGATATGACAAAGTTGATTTGACGAAACACCTTGAAATCGTTGGCGTAGTAGGTCATTATCAGCTCCAATGGTTTTTTGATATATTGAAATGTTTGAACTAGAAAGAACTACAGGATAAGTGAATGATAAACGGAGTTGTTTTGTTGACTCTTTTACTTGTGATCCTAATGTAGGTTTCGTTGAAGTTATGATAGGATTATTGAATTCATTATCTTTATTGTAAAATCAGAATATATTAAAATTAGAATGCTGTATTGCTGTATATATGTTGTCTTCTCTTCATATAACTTATATACTTATATAATGATAGCGGAACATAAAGCTCAATATTAAAATATTATATTTACCTTTGCCAGTAAATTTAAATAGATTATCAGATGTTACTTTCCAAGTTGAGTTATTTTGATTTTCCACTATCACAATTGAATTATTCCCAAGCATAGTAGAACTCAGTTTAAACATGGTATTATTTAAAGGTTGTGGTAATGACCAATTGGCATAAAAATCTCCATTTTCATCGAGAATATAGCCATAAATAAAATCATCTTTATATACCATCATTAGATATCCGCCGAATAGAAGAGGCTTAATATTAAATCCATAACCAGAAGCATTTTTCATTTCCCCCTGATTTGTTATTGATCTAGAATTTTTTTTAAAAATAACATTTAAAAAGATTGATAATTTATTATTTTTGATATATTATTGATGATATTTATAATTACCCAGAAGAAAGATAAGATATCTTCAAAATGAGAAGTTGAATATTGCTATTTGTACTATTGTTATTTTTATTATTGCTAATTGTATTATTGTTATTACCATTCACAGTATATTGTGAATTCAATAATAACAAGCACATATTTCCTGCTCCACTAAACTCAACATTACATCTAATTCCTCGTAATGTTAACGTTTGTGTTAATATTTCAGTATTATTCGACCTTGATAATTTTGTGGGAGTTCGAAATATCATGAACGGCCCAGTTTGTTTGTTTGTTTCGAAATAATAAAATATTATGAATGCACTGTTGGTTGTACTTAAATTGACGTCTACAGTGGATTGGTTAAGATTGGTCGGTGAATCTTCTCCGCCATAAGCTATAGCAAATCCTTTCTCTAATACGTAAAAAGACGAGGTTGTTACAATTTTAACGTTTGTTTGAATTATTCCACTTTTAGCTCTTTCGATAATTTCTCCGTTTTCATTTCTATTATAATATATATATTATTGTTAAGTCGATAATTTATTTCATATTAATGTCAGGATCCAAGATGATAATTATATAATATCAGTGAATCATTATGTTATTATTAACCAATTATTTTAACACATACGGTATATTGAAATGTACCCAGCTCAATAATGTCGCGCTGTAACAATAAAATAAAAATCCATCTTTTGAACTGGAATTAGGGACCATAAGAAAATATATCATTGTGCCACCGTTGTCCATAAGGGCATCATGTAATTTTACTGTACTGTTATATACAACTCAAGTATTAAAAATATTATTCTCAATGTTTATGAATCTATTTATGAATGAAATTAAATATTTAAATACAAAACCTTAAAATCGTTCCTTCAAAATTAATAAAGAGTCCCATAATTGCTGAAGTATCTAATTTCGAAGAATTATAATAAACAATCATAAGTCTTTGATCGAACCCCCAAATCGTAGTATAATCGTTTGTAGATTTATTATCTCTCAAACAAAAATTAAATTCTGGAATCCCGTGATTTGAAATCGAAAAGAAGCTAATCGACGCGTTAGGATGAATGATTCGAAGATAAATAGTTTTATCCCAACATTTACTTCCATTCACTTGCTTAATTGGATATCCGAAACGTAAAATTACCGTTCCATCACTGGATTTATCATTATCTAGAAGATCTAGACCAGTCTGAGAATCTTCGTACGTGAATTGCCTTAGTTGGGTTGAAGGTGATGGTAACAATGTTAATATTACAAGGATTGCTTGCAATATTATGATAAATTTTACCATTTCTTTTCTTTTCTTTTCTTTTCTTTTCTTTGAAAATATTTCTTATTCCCTTTCATACTTTTTATATATACCAAAATTAAACACTTTGACAATATTCTTCGAAAATTATTTGTTCATTCGAGTGCAAATGAGTTTTATACAAATAAGGTAAAATGCAACGTAAATCGAATCTGCAAAGTACAATGCAACAAAGACTTATGAAATCCTTTAATAAAAAACTTAAAGATTTTCTTTTAGCGTTAGTTGGTTCTACTGATTTTAATTGCAATTAAACTTTCCTAAAAAGGAATACGGAGTTTGTTTATACGTACGTACGTACTGTATTAATGAAGTCGAACACAACATACGTACAACGATTTGTTTACTGCATAACATTAAAAACATTCTAAATCGATCAGTAGATCAGGTGGAAATGCGTGGAATCTCGAATTGCAGATTGAATATTCTACAATCAAATTTTTTTCTCCATTTATCTAAAATATTTTTCTTGTTGAAACTTGTGATTTTTTTATAGCATTTCAATGAATCCAATTTTAAAATATTATTATTCAAGCAATTCATAAATTAAATTTAAATTATCTCCAATTACATGTAACATGTTTAAGATTTGATTCTGCAATATGACGCAATATAATTAATAACCGTTCTGTAAAAAAAAAAATCGAGTTTGAAATAAAACCAACAAAACGATGCCAAGTTACAAAAAAAAATTGTTGAAAATTTAAAACCAATTAATATTAATATTATTCTGAACATTAATTAATTAACTTTATTCAATAACTATCCTTATATGTTAAATTTATTTATCTTTTACTTGTATTTTCGAGAAATAACGCGCATGCCGAATTAAGCATAATTTAGGCTCAACTTTGACATTACATCCGTTATTTCACGAAAAAATAGTTGGTAATTATCAAAGATTAGTAATTTTATATCGCCTGCTGCGGTGAGGGTTCCGGAATTTAAAAAAAAAAAATTGGAGTATTTTAGAAATAAATGGATTTCAAAAGTTTTGGAATCGGAAAATGAAATAAAAGGAAAATGAAATAAAAGTGTCTCGAAGGGATGTACTCATGTTCTCGATAGCCATCACAGAGAGTTAGGGTTAGCATTTTATTAATTGCATCTATATATTACAAGTCACTCTCGTTACAGTGAACTCTCGATATAGTGAGGACTAATTAAAATCTCGATACAGTGAAGTTTAAGCTCAAAGTCAGTTTATATAAGATTCTTTCGATATAGTGAATTTACTCTCGATATATTGAATTTTTAAAAAAAAATTTATTAATGGAACGATCACTTCACTATACCGAGAACGACTTGTAATGTCAATTAAATAGCTGTCCGCAAAATAGGGTGTTTCCTGACTAAATCCAATTGCTTGAAATAGATAAATTTTTAAATAACAAAAATCATTAATTCAAATTTACTTGAAAATGAAATAATGTTGATAAAATCGCTTATTTGAAAATAAATGCATTTTTTAATTCTGAAACCCTCGGTATATCTAATTGAAACATAGCCTTTATTATAATATATATTTTATCAAAAATAAGCTATCTCAATAAACCATTATTAAAAAAGTACTGAACATAACCAATTCCTCCTCTAAAACTAGTAAACCTTAATGAATACCTTAAATAACCAGTAGACAATATTTTACTTTAAATTTTTTCCGTAATTATAACTACTTGATCGAAAAATAGATATTTGTTGTTATAAGTTACATATACCAAAATATCATGTGCGCAACCACATACACAACGATGAAAACATAATTTAAAACCTTTTTGTATATAAAATTTTAAAACCTTTCTAGTTAATTTTAGCTTTTATTCTTTGGTCGATTTCTTTTCAATACCTTCAATAAGTGCAAACTTAAATTAATTTGGTATTATAAAAGCTAAAAATCGAAGTTAATAATATTTTTGTATTATTAATAATTTTTGTATTATTTAAAGGCCGATAGTATCGCGTAACAAGTTATTTAAACTACATACGTACGTACGTACAGTACGTGTACGAACAATAAAAGGCATTATACCAAACAGTATATATTATATCAATGGCAAAATATTATTAAATTACTGTAATGAAATTTTGCTTTTATATTTTGTAATTACTAAACAAGAATATTTTTGTAAAGTAAATTAGTCATGAGAGTCTTGGCATTCGGGTTTTTACCGGAGCAAAAATATTTTTATAGATCTTTCTATAGAAGTAATTTGTGAATTTGACAAATATTTTTCATATACAGAAATAATAAAAAAAAACTTAAAATTTTGCACATTCGATACAAAGACAACAAAGAAAAATCAAAACAAACGCGACACAAAAAATCTATTTATTGGAGTTGCTGGTGAAACTGATGACTATCTAAAATCTGGTTGGCTATTGCATTTAATAGCCATTAGACTTTAGATAATCACCAGTTTCACCAGTATGATTTAGTTTCATCAGCAACTCTATTTACAAACTCCTAGAAAAAGAAAACCGCCAATTAGCGAGTTCAATTTTTGATTATCCGAACACATGCGTAAGAGAAAATACTCGAAAACTAATGTTTAAAGTAACCTTGGTGCACTAATAAAATGTCAAGAATAAATTTTACATATAGAACTTGACATTTTATTTTTATATCCCTTCTAAAGTCCAGTGCTCCAACAAGGTCAATCCAGAATAACTCAT